AGCCCCTTCCTCTGGTCCAGGAGCAGTGGGATGGTGGCTCAGACGCCCCTCCCTGTGGGCCGGGAGAGGTGGAGGGGATGGTGGCCAGGAAGCCCTTTCCTCTGGACCAGGAGCAGTGGGATGGTGGCTCAGAAGCCCCTACCTCTGGGCCTCGAGCAGCAGGACTCATTACCGTGGTCTGATGATCCAGTGTCCTCTGTGTCTTTGTAGTGTGGACCAGGTGGCTGCCTGTCTGCAGCGGGCTGATTTGGCATGTTCCATGTGACTCGGACCTGGGTAGGGTCTCCCTTCCATTTCTCATCAGCCAACACAGGACAAAGATAATTTCCCAAATTTCATTTGGAGGAATAAGATAGCAAACAAGGAGAAAGCATTTGTCAGGGAGCTTAGGATATAGAAGGTGCCTTGTAAGTAGCTGCTGGACTGCATTTATTGAGCACCTCTTTCTGTGTGCTATATGTATATGTAGTGTCCAAAATCCATCTGGAAGGAATGATGATGTTTCTGTTTTTCACATGAAGAAGCTGAGGTTCAATTGCATTAGCAACTTTACTAAAGTACCTTAGAGAGAAAATGGACCAGGATTCAAACCAAATACTTTCTGACTCTGCAAGCTATGTACAGTCTATCCTCATGCCACATGACTTTCGGGAGAGGGAAGATTGGTTTGGGGTTACACAAGGGGGCAAGTTGGTGTGTAGAGTCCCATACAGGCATGGAAAGCGACCACAGGGATGGCACAAGGCACTTAAACTCTACCCAGACACAAGTGGCTGGGAAGACAGCCCTGTTCCATATGCTCTTGGTGACATTTGGTCTTTAACTCTTTTCCCATCAAAAATAGGTCAGGGGAGGAGTACAGGTTGTTTTCTAAGCAGTGGAACACTGTATTTCAGCTGGGGCTACTGGGCCTGGCCTCCTGATGAGGTTCAAGTGGAAGCTGTTTCAGTCTGGTTTTTGGTTGACGAGATGTCCAGCTGAGCATGACTAAATGGCTTCATTCCCATTTGCACATGATCCAAAAGGACTTTGTGGCCAGCCCTAGTCATGTGAGTATCTCCAGGGAAGCAGATTCTTCTCTGTTTAAGTTTCTAAAGAGGTTGCACACTGAGAAGTTACTGATGACTTATGGTTTGGGACAGAGCTACAGTTTCTTAAATTGGTTCATCCAGTGTTGCAATGCCAAGGAAGAGAAAATATAAGTACATCACCAATGCACTTACAGATTTGCTTTCTCAGTGCCTGGCTGCCACTGACTCAAACACGGAAGCTGATTTCATTTCACATCTCCAGTGAATAAAGTTAACTCATTTTGTGGAAGATTTCAGGTAAGAACAAGCTTCCAGAGTGACATTTCCCAAAATTTAAGAGAAGGCATATTTTAAGATTATAACTCAATTTAGATTATAGATTTAGATTTTAGATTGTAACTTTAATGAACTTGATCCAATGTGGACATATGATACTAATGAATGGCTGGTGTGCCATAAGAAATCCGTGATAACATTCCTGTCTTTAGGAATGTAGGAATTCACAGGCTGTAGAGATCGGACATCTGGAGATACTATGTGGAACGGCGGGTAACCTTGTGCGTGGTGATTGGGTTCATCGATATGTAGTCGCTTATCTTTCTTCTTTTCTCTCTCTTAGGCTCTGAGGTCTATTTCCCTCACTAAGCCCACAATGACAAAAAAAAAAAATCACAGAACCCATGGATCTTGGTGAAGATTTCCAGATCAATGGGAGAAATTGGAGACTCTCATGATGCTGAAGTCCAGACAGCAAGGAGTATGTGGCTAGAGACAAGTTGCCTTCATTCCTGGACCCTCCTCCAAAAGTCCCTCCCTCCCCTCTCTCTCTATCTCCCACTCACTCTGCTATTTCTGCCCTCAGGTAATTTGTAATCATTTGATACAATAAAGATGACCTTGTGTTTAAGTCACAAGATAATGTCTTCTCAGGAAATGCATCTTGTTCAACGTCCACTCCAGCAACTAGCTGTTGGGAATTTTTGAAGACAGAGAGCAGATCTATTTCCAAGATACCCTTTTCTAGATGTCATCCTTTGGTTAGCGCAGAAGCTCTTGGGCTGAGTTTATGGCTTTTTTAAAGACTGAAATATTTTATCTCAGGTTATTAACTGGATGGTTTTGTCTTCAGTGGTGGGAACTGAGTCACGTAACTTGAGTCTCCAGAATTTAGCTCAGTGTCCTATTTGAAATGTGGAGTGAATAGATTCTGGTTGTTAATGATGCATTCAAAGTTATGATTTCTTTGTTTCGGAATGTATTTGACTGACTTTCCAGCAACACGGCTGAAATCCTAAGGAATCTTACAATTTTTAAATCGAGAGACGACATTTGAGCTTGGAGAAAATCAGAATGAAAACTCCAATATCTTGAGACACTGGGAGGCAAATAAGTTTAACATCCCCATAGCTCTGAACAAGCAGTCTTAGCATTATAGGAAAGAAGCTGTGTTATCAGTTTGTCTGCAGTAGGAGATTAGAGTAAAGTTCCTAACCCTGTATGTTCTTTGAAACACAATTGCAGTGTTTAGAGACCAAATTCCTGGCTACCATGGAAAGCAATTTTTTGACACCTACTGTGATTGAAATGAAAGTCAACAGAGCTCTTCAGATAATGTGTTTAGATCACTGCTGTCCTAGCCACAACTGGGTCCCTGAATTACCAAAAGAGTATGACTTAAAGTTGTGGCTCAGTGTCTCTGTAAAGATACTTGAACATGGAAAATTAGTCATCAACAGAAATGTTATTGCTTTAGTTGTCTAATATTTTACCTTCACCGATCTCATGCATTTGTAGAACCAGGGGACAGGGGCTGCTATGGAGGGACTTTAACCAGGTCTTCAGTCAGAAGCAGCTCCAAGCCCCGGTCCCAGAGTGAACATGCATTCATTGGCACGAGGTCCCCACTTGGTACCCAGTTCATCCACATGAGTGGCAGATTGTGTCCTGATTGTTGTCCTGTTACTGACAGCAAAAGTTCAGCCCCAATGAAGTCCATCAGCAAGAATTCAATTGCTAAATTTGGCTGGATTTTTACAAAATCATTCTAGACTGAACAGCACAGGCTTAGATATTTAAACAACCAAATCCCATGTGTGCTGTGCTCTGTCATGACTGCCTTCCAGAAGTATGGTAAATGGACCTTTTGAAGTACCCAACACAAAACAAAACATTGAGAAATCCCTTCTATTTCGGGCTTTTTATTGAATACAAAAACAATAAACTAAGAGATGTGATGCATTATTGTATTCTGCTTGAGTTAACAGGGGCTTAAAGATTAAAAAAATTAAATATATATGTTGTTTTATTTAAAAAAGATGAGCATACTCATTCCACTTTATTTTTGAACCTACTAGCAGAGCATTATTAGTTCACACTAATAAAATATCTAATGTTTTTGCTTCTTTTCCTGTGCAGTGATTTAAGTTTCTGCTAACTCAACATCTATTTCTCCAGACACACAAAAGCATTGCATGGCATGAAATGGTCTTGCTGGGGCTTTCCTGCATGGTCCTGCATGAGGTCACTTTTCTGGATGTCAATACCTGAGGGTCTCTGGTTCCCCTATCCTCATTTATCTTTTTCCTGTGCCTGATTTCTGTCCTGGAATTGCTGGAGTCTCAGGGTGGTTGGTGCTGTTCTGGGTATGAAATCATGGATGCTCAGTTCCAAGCCAAGTTTCTGCTCTGCACCCTGGAAGCCATGATGGGCCTTTGTCAGCCACACCAATGGAACTTTCTAGAGAAGAACCTGAGCTGGGAAGAGGAAAATGGGACTCATATCGATTTGTTGGTTTCATTCTTACCATTTTCAACTCAGCCCATGTCTTCAGCCTAGCAGTGGTAATCTGTCCCCAGAAAGAGTGGTGTCCAGCTGATGGCCATCTCCCAAGCTTTGTTGAGTAAGCCTTATTGTACAGGGACTTCAGGGCCACTAGCAGCTGCTCTTTCCCCCAGAGGGTTGGGCCCCAGGTCCATGGGGCCCCTTCTCCAAGTTCACAGGTCCTCTCATCTGGGGTCTCAGTTTCATTTTTGTGAGGTTCTTCCTCTAAGTTTCAAAAAGCTTTGCCAAAAATAATGGGATATAGTATAGATTTGGGGGTTGCAGCATGATGTTTTGATGTATGCTTATAATGTGGAATTATTACGTCAAGCTGACTAACAGATCCACCACCTGACATATTTGTTAATTTGTGTGGTGAAAACATTTAAAATCTACTCTTTTAGCAATTTTAAAGTAGACAATGCATTATTATTGATTATAGTTCCCTTTATGTACCACAAATTAGGAATGCTTATGCGTTTAACTGAAAGTTTGTATGTGTTATCCACATCTTTCCCCACCCACTCCCAGCCTCTTGTACCTGCCTTCCTACTCTATGAGTTTGTCTTTTTCAGATTTTATATATAGGTGAGATTATGTGTTTGTCTTTTTGAGTCTGGCTTATTTCTTTTAGCATAATGTACAAAGGGCCAAAACAGATATTTCTCAAAGGAAAACATACAAATGGCCAGCAGATGTGTGAAAAATGGTCATCATCACCGACCATCACAGAAATGCAAAATAAAACCATGGTGTTGGGCCAGGGATTTAGCTCAGTGGTCGCACCACCTGCCTCACAGGTGCAAGAACCTGTGTTCGATCCCTGGTACCAAAAAACCCCCCAAACACCAAACACAATAAAACCACGGTGAGATGTCACTTTGTACCTGTCAGAATGGCCATTATCAAAAAGAGAAAAGATACATGTTGGTGGGGATGCGCAGGAAATGAAACTATTGTGTACTATTGGTGGATGTTCACGAGTACAGCCATATGGAAAGTGGTATGGATGTTCCTCAAGAATTCAAATCTGCACTGCCAAGGGATTCAGCATCCCCCCCACCCCAGGAACATGTCCAGGGAAATGGAGTCAGCCTGCTGAAAGGATATCTACCCTCCACATCCATTGCAGCACAATCCCTAGCAACCTAGGTGCCCACCGACAGATAAGTGGATGAACAAAATGTGATTCACACACAATGGAGTGCTGTTTACCCTTCAACAGGAAGGACATCCTGTCATTTGCAACAACACAAATGAATCCATAAGACAATTTGCCAGGATTCCAAGTTTTAATAATTCTTAACTCCCATTCCCCCTCCACCCTAGTGATGATCACTGCTTCCTCCAGGGTTGCTCAGGATTCTTTTTCTGTGTTTTCAGCTACCTACTTAGCAGACCCTTATACCTAGTGAGTGAGTTTGTACATTAAATCCTGTGTTACACTAACTGGTGTGGTTTCTATGCTCTGAGTGAGATCAATGACAACTCAAACTCAAATTCTATGTCATCAATTTTATGGACAGACATCCCCTGATCCTGGGTAGGAAGGATTAATATAGTGAAAATGGCCATACTTCCAAAACTGCTATATAGATTTAATGCAATTCCAATTGAGATCCCAACAACATACTTCACGGACCTTGAGAAAACAATCCAAAAATTCATTTGGAAGAAGAAGAGACCCAGAATAGCAAAAGCAATTCTAGGTAACAGAGACATGGCAGGGGGTATCACAGTCCCCAACCTGCAACTATACCACAAAGCTACTGTGATAAAAACAGCATGGTGCTGGCAAAGAAACAGACCTGAGGACCAGTGGAACAGATTAGAAGATGCAGAAACAATGCCAGATACACTCAGCCATCTCATCTTCGATAAAGGAGCCAAACAGCCTCACTGGAGGAAAGATAGCCTCTTTAATAAATGGTGCTGGAAAAATTGGACTTCAACTTGCCAAAGATTAAAACTAGACCTATATCTCTCACCATGCACTAAACTAAAATCAAAATGGCTTAATGATCTAAATATTAAAATAGAAACTCTGAACCAGTTGGAACAGAGGTTAGGTAGAACCCTTGAAGACATTGGTGTAGGAAAAGATTTTATGAACAAAACCTCAGTTGCCTGTGAACTAGCACAAACAATCAACAAGTGGGATCTCTTCTTATTAAAAGGCTTCTGCACAGCAAGAGAAACCACCAGCAGTGTGAAGAGACAACACACAATGTAGGGAAAATATCTTCACCGGCTCTTCCTCAGACAAAGGTCTACTATCTCAAATCTATAAAGAACTTAAAAAGATCAGACCTCCCAAATTCAATGGATAATGAACATATAGAGTTTTAAAAAGTGTCCAACATTAGACTCTTGAATGGATTCAAAAGAACCAGAATATGGTTCAAAGCTGTTGGTGAATGTAGTGCATCAATCAAAGCTCATGTGGCAAGTGGCAGAAAATTGGATCTAAACCGAAAAGGGGGTGGATTGACTCATTAACTGAATGAGTTAGCAAGAGAGGGCAAGTCAGAGCTAGAGCTCATCTTCCTCAGACATCAGAACATGAAGATTAGTCACTGAGAGAAAAAGCTACTGCTTTAGATGTCTAATAATATTTCCACCGTCACCAATCTAATGCTTCTGGGGGCCCAGGGGAAGGGGATAAAGTCCTGCCTTCAAGCACAGCCAGATCAAGAGGCTCAGCCTCAATCCTAGTGCTCTACCTGTGTCTTCTCCAGTTCCTATCTAGGCTTCTCTTCCTCTTGGCCTTTTCCTTGTGAAGCCAGGTTTGCAGCCAGCTGCTCCAGGCTTATTCTTGTTCTGCCAATGACCCAGCAGAGAGAGCACTGCAGCCTCTGCAGCACAAGCTCCGCCATGGCTCTGGCTGATTTTCGAATCCTTCCTCCCTACTGGGGGGTGGGCAGTCAGGTTCTCATCCCCTGGGTCATCCAAGCACAGCTGCATGGGGAGAGGGAAGCCGAGAGTGACTTTTACCCCAGCCAGATGGACCAGAACATATTTGTGGTTTCTCCAGGGAAACTCTGGGTACTATGACCAGAATGCAGGGATATTGATGCTGAGCTGTAAAACCACCAG